CGCTTCCTGTGATTGAAGAGCCCCAGGGAAATATGCAATGTGTTTGGCTTGTTCCCTAGCGCCAATGGATCACCGCCTGCACACTTGAATCTCTGTCAGACTCTCCAGTAGCACATCTGCTCCCAGTATTTCTTCCATGAGGATGTGACTGTTATAATCTCTTCAGCACACAAAAAAATAATAGTAATGAATTTTTGGTATCGATAATAATGAACTTTAAAAACCAATAACACAGCATCTTGAGAGGCAGTCTTATTAGATATTTGAGTGGTGATCAATAAACATGGTTAAAACAAAACTGGAATTAGTACAGGAAACATAATAAATTGTTACCAATTCTGCTGAAGTTGTCAGTACCCTCTAGTGGAAATACACTTTAATAGCATAGACTTTTTTCAAATATTTTTCATAGATGTATTATCAGTCATTGAAACTTGGCAGGTACAAAAACTAACATTTTTAGATAGTAATAAACAGTGTAGTATCTCATTTCATTATGTTAAATAAATGTAAGATCTTTAATATAATTTGTTATCTCATTTGGAAAAGCAATCCAAAATAAAATGAGAGCAGAAGGGAAAGCTGTCAGAAAGAACTGGAACAACAGATCAGATAATCCCCCTACAATGTCTCAGCTTTGCCTTGTGGAAATGAAATCTACATGCGGGTTGCTCAATTTAAATCTTATTAGTGAAAAGTCAGATGATCTCTGTTCTCACTAAATTTATTTATTTATTATTTGTTTCAATTAGTTACACATGACAGTACAATGATCTTGACATATCATACATTTGATTCAGATGGGATATAATTTCTCATTTTTCTGAGTGTACAGGTTGCAGAATCACATTGGTCATGCAGTCAAGTATATACCCCACAGCAATAATAATGTCTATTTTATTCTGCTGTCCTTCCTTTCCCCTCTTCCCCTCCCCTCCCCTCCAATCACTTCTCTCTACCCAATCTAACGTGACCCATTTCTCACTAAATTTATATCGTACAAATATTTAATGAATAATATTTTGAATGTATGTCAAACTTAACTGGTGCAGGGGATCAAATTTTTAACCTAAGGATGTCCACATGTTTTACTCTGCCTTGAAATCAAAAGGAGAATAATCCTTCTTGGTATTTCACATAGATTTGGTTGGATAAGTATTGATTTTCAGTAATAACAATCGTATCATAGATTTCAATATAACTCTGAAATTTTAAAATTAGTAAAATAATATTACTATGTCTATTAAAATATGAAATTATTTATAAATTAAATCAGTGTCTTCCCTTCTCACTTTTTACTTTAGTTGATTTAATGGTACTGTAATTTCATCATTACAATAGCACAATTCATTCAATAACTCATTTAAGATATTCTTAAATTTCACACAGTTGAAGGGAAAATGATGGCACGAAGATTATCCCTGGGATGCTTTTCTGATAAGTTGAAGAACTTCTGTGAGACTCCTGTGGTTCAGCTACTTGTCTTTATAAAAAGGATAGTTATTCTTTATATAGAGCTTTATATAGAGATTTTTTTTGAAAGAAAAAATAGATATTAAAAATATTAAAATATTAAACAGTACTTAACTGAAAAATATTAAACAGTACTTAAATTCCTCCTCTGTACCTGCTAAGGATAAAATGGTCTATTTGTGGCTTGGCAATGCAGTTTGTGTTTCTTAGTAAAGCCTGGTGAGGAAGAATTGGAGAAGCCAAATTCCTCCACATGAGGAAAAAAAAAGATGAAAAAGTACTCAGAAAAGATACTAAAGAAGGGGACAAATCAGCACAGGTTTTCAGAAAAGTAAGGACAATTTGAAGGTCTGTGTGTTCTCAAACTTTAGCATGCATCAGGTTCATCTGGGAATCTAAGAGAATCATAACTGATGTTTAAATGAATGCTACAACACAAATTCTGTGGCTCTAACTCCAGAGTTTCTGTTTCATTAGTTCTAAGGCACTGGCTTAATAATTTACAATTCTAACAGGTACCCAGATAATGCTAATTCTGCTGATGTAGGAACCACACTATAAGAGTCACTGTTACAAAGGGTTTTTACAAAGTTTTGCTTTGGGTTATGTGGTATAACTTTCTAAGTGACTAGCCATCCCTGTTTCTCTGAGACTAAAGGATTTCCGTGAGCTGAGACTTTCAGGGCTAAAACTGGAGTGTCTAGAACACCAGGAAGATTTGCCCCTTAAATCATATCTTTTTGTGTGTGTGCATGTGGTGCTGGGGATTGAACCCAGGGCTTTGTGCATGTGAGGCCAGCACTCTACCAATTGAGCTATATCCCCATCCCGTTAAATCATATCTTAAAGATATTTTCAGTAAAGTACTTGCTAAGCCATTACTCTTGTTCAAATATTTTTGAATCGAAATTTTGTGTTACTTACATTTTAATTAATTTAAAATTTTATGTTTTCCCCCCACTGGTATATTATGATATTAAGATTGAATGCAAGTCTAGAATTGCATTTTGGAGGTTATATTTTAGGATTTTGAACCAGGAGACAGCAGTACCCTGCTGTATCTAGAACTAATTGTCACATAGAACTGAGTAAACCATCACTATGATTATGAAATAGCCAACATTTTGATTCCATAGCAAGAGGAAAAAGTTGTAATTGGAGGCAGGATGCTACTTGGATTAGCACTTCATTGTTTATAGCAGCACAATTCACAATAGCTAAACAGTGGAGCCAACCTAGATGCCCTTCAGTGGATGAATGGATAAAAAAATGTGGCATATATACACAATGGAATTTTACTCAGCAATAAAATCATGGTATTTGCAGGTAGATAGATGGTGTTGGAGAAGATAATGCTAAGTGAAGTTAGCCAATCCCAAAAAAAATCAAATGCCGAATGTTTCCTGTGATATAAGGAGGCTGATTCATAGTGGGGTAGGGAGGGGGAGCATGGGAGAAATAGATGAAACCTAGATAGTACAGAGGGGTGGGAGAGAAAAGAAGGAGGCAGGGGTTAGCAAGGATGGTGGAATGTGATAGACATTATTTTCCAAAGTACATGTATGAAGACATGAATTGGTGTCAACATACTTTATATACAATTGTAATGCATTCTGCTGTCATTTATTTTTTAAAAAATCAATAAAAGAAAGGGCTAGGGATGTGGCTCAGAGGTTAAGTGCCCTGGGTTCAATCCCCTTTATAAAGAAAGAAAAAAGTCCCCAGAAATAGCTATATTAGTGGGAGATCTTGATTTGGGGGAAGCTTGGAAAGCATTTAAAGCTTATCAAATATGCAGTAATTCCAAAGTGTAAAAGTAATAACAGACTATAGAGTTATTCTTGGTGTGATGGTTTAAATTCTACCCCATGCTGACATTAGTTTTCTACATAATTTCAAATTTTTATCTTTAGCTGCTTCTGTAAGATTAAGTTAAACAGATTTTAAATACAGATCTTTAGCAATTCAAACATATCATATTTCCTTGAAACTTCCTAATTAACTTAAAGGGGCATGTGGGGTTTGTAAACAAGTTAGATGTTCAATATAAGTTCTGGTAGTCATTATTATGAAGATAAATATATAACATAAGTGTCTAGTTTTATTCTACTTCCTCAAAAAATGTCAACTACTTCTAGAGAGGGTTATGCAGAGCATGTACTATTAAGATTGAGAAGTTTACTGAGTCAGTGGCCAATTGCTTGTAGATAATAAGTTCTCGAAGTCTTAAGATGATTTGGAGATGATCTCAAATAGGTAAGTACAGTCCATACTCAATAATAAAATGGGAGATAATGGGGAAAACAGCTAAGCATCATCTCAAATTAGGATAAGGTGAAGAAATCTACCTAACATGATTTTATTCCAATGATTTCCTCTTATTATTGAGAAATAGTAGAGAATGCAGAGGGAGCCCATGAGTTTCATTTGAGAAACTTCCTTTAAATTGAGAGAGACTCAGAGAAAGAACTGAACTGAGAACCCTGCGGTTTACAATCCTAAACGAATCATGACTATTTTCTGCTGTATTTCTGCCAAAGGCAACTTGACTGAGGTTAATGAAAAGATCATTTTTTTTCTTTCTGCAAAACATGGCCAACAATGCTCATGGCAAAATTGCAAAACATAATTTATCTTTAGTGTTCTTTATAACTTCTCTTTCTCCTGCCCTCAATACCCAACCCCAGACTACAGGAATTGTGTAGTCTACATAACATAGAAAAGTGTGTAACTTTATGTAACTAATATGTGAATAAAATTTTGAGACTACAAAATCAGTGGTGCATAGTACCACCTGTTAAATGCTCATGATTATGTTTTAGTAGGAAAACCTAATACATAACAACCAAATTTACATGCATAGGCAATCCTTCCTTATCTAAAACATCCCAAATTCTAAAATAATTAATTACCCCCAACTTGCACAGCATACTGAGATCCGGACATCAGAATTCAGTCTTAATATAAATTTAAGTAAATCCTCGGAAAGTCTACCTTTTGAAAGTGTTCTCTTTTAACCCAAAATATCCTCTAACTGGTGAATTTATTGGCAGTCAGGGATTTCATGTCCTACCAGTTATAAAATATCAGTCTTTGAACCCACAATAAACGCTCCCCTTCCGGTCTCAAAAGATGACGCAAGAGAAATGTCTTAGAATTGAATTGTTTAGTAATAATAATCCCTGAAAAGAGAGAATAGAAATAACTGGAAAAGGAAATGCAAATGTTTAAGTTTGGAAATTGGAAACGTGGGGAAATGACGCCACCTTCTGGTGAGAAATGGGAACCAACAACAACAAAAAAAACCCCAGCAGGTTAAGGATCTGATTTCTTTTCAAACCATCAAACAGCGCAACTCCAGTGGATCTTTAGAACCGCCCTCCCCGGAGGCTCTCACCACTCCTGGCGCCTCAGGCAGTATGATTGACAGGGCAACAGTCGGGTCCGTTACAGAAATTCGTCACTCCGGAAACAGTGACCGGATCCTTCCGGCCCGCGCTCTCCCAGCATCCTTTGCCTTCCGGCTGTGCTCAGTCCTGTCCGGCCAGTCCCGCCTTGCGCGCCCGTTTCGAGCCGGAGTTTCAAGCTCGGCTTTCCAGGCTCTGAGTGGGTCCTCGGGCAGTGGCAATGGGGGCAGGAATGGCTCAGCTAGAGGGTTACTATTTCTCAGCTGCCTTGAGCTGTACCTTTTTAGTGTCATGCCTACTCTTCTCTGCCTTCAGCCGGGCGCTGCGAGAGCCCTACATGGACGAGATCTTCCACTTGCCGCAGGCGCAGCGCTACTGTGAGGGCCATTTCTCCCTCTCGCAGGTGGGGTCCGCAACCTGTCTCTACCCTAGGACAGGCCAGGGAGGGCCCGGCGTTCCCATCGCTGACTTCTCCTTCCCATCCTTTATCCTTGCCTCTCTCCCTTGCACCTTCCCAGCCTCCAAACGTAAAAAGGAGCTGGGTAATCTTTTGTTCCTGTGTCAGAGCTTCGTGATGTTTGTTAAAATGAATGAATAAAAAGCTTATCTGTCTCTCAAGAAGGAATGGTTTGGGAGAGTGACTAATGGGGAACCGAGCTAGTGCTCCTCCTCTTAGCAACTGACTATCCCAGTTTGTCTTCCCCGGTTCCAAGATTAGAGAGGTGTTGGGGTGTGCCTTGAACCTGTCAGAAAACTTCACGTTTGCATCAGTGAAACACCTCACTCAGTATTTCGGAGGAAGGATGGGGGATCTTCAGCCACAAAAATAAAGTGATAGTTTACACTAATTTTCTGGGCATTTTAGAAACCTTTTGTTAGCTGGATAAACTGCACCCAGTCAGGTTATATCATTTTAAAATGTATGTTTGACTACACAAATGTATAAATATAAATACCAAAGCATATTCCTCCTCTTCTGGTGACACATTATGCGTTCTGGTTAAAGTATGTTGGGAAAAAATCTGATTTTCAATCTTGATGCTGTTATTAACCTTAGAAAATTTTCTGGATTTCAGGCTACTCATCTGCAAAATGGCATCAATAATAGTATCTAATGTAGGGTATGCAACAAGATTAAATAAGATTTAGCACAGTTTTTGAAACTGATACATGTTAGCTATCATAGAGCCTGTGGACCAATCTCTCTAAACCCTTCTTTCTCTCTAAACCCATCAGAGTTTGAACTAAATTTTACAAGCTGTGAAATGAGAGCCTTTGCAATTTAGACACCAAAATACAGGTATTCTAGAGAGCAATTCTTGGAAATTAGAAACAAATTTTAATTTATTACAAACAGGTGCAGAGGTAAAAAAAAAATTATTTTCTCAAAGTAGACGTCTAATCTACTAAGATTTTTTTTTAACCATGTCAAAATAACTTCTCAAATGTCATGATCATTAAAACTGGATCTTAACATATCTGTGCCTGTCCTTTCAGTATTAGTTCTTGATTTTGCTTCACTGTTGGCATTTCATTTTTAAGTGGGATCCCATGATTACTACATTACCTGGCTTATACCTGGTGTCTGTTGGAGTGGTCAAACCTGCCAGTTGGATTTTTGGATGGTCTGAACATATTGTCTGCTCCATTGGAATGCTCAGATTTGTTAATCTTCTCTTCAGTGTTGGCAACTTCTATTTACTATATTTGCTTTTCCGAAAGCTACAACCCAGAAACAAGGTATGTTTTAACATAATTTATTACAGGTATGTTTTAACATAATTTATTTCTGTGTAGTCAGGTTCACATTTATGTCATGAATTAGTTTTATGAAATTTGGAGAAATATGTTTTTAACACTGGAATTTATATATGTTTGTGACAATTAATGGAAATCTTGCACCCCCATTTTAGAAGATATTTAAGTAAGGCAGTCTTTCTTTGCAGAACTTATATCTTCTTTAGGGAAAATAGACTTTGCTTTAGGAGTTATGAGGCAATTTAAGATTGCAAGTCCTGGAAGTTGGTTTCTTGGGTTTCAATTCTATCCCTACTACTACTACTTGCATTACTTTGGGAAGATTACCTTTCATGACTCTGTGCCTTCAACTGTTAAATAAGTACTAATAAATCTACCTCATAGAAGTGTTATGAAGAGTAGAGGATTAATAAATAGGTGGTGCTTCGGCTAGTGCCTGATATAAAGATTCAGTAATTGAAAGAGGTAATTTCAGTAGTATCAGTTATGAGAGGCAGGTAGGCATGAGAATGAGGATACAGAGAAGGAGCCGAGGAACACTTACTACTTCCTTACTGGGAGGCGTGTGTGTGGCCTTGGATAAGGCTGCACAGAGAAGGTAGCACCAGAGCTAAATCGTGATGAACAGATACTGCTGAAGAGGGGAATAATCCTGGCAGACATAACATAAAGTAAAGGTATGAAGGCATTGAACAATGAAATGCAGAGAATTACTGTTTGAAACTATAGAATTATCAACCACAAGGATATAAAGCTAGAGATGCAGGTAGGACTGAAGTCAAGAAAGTCCTTATATGCCATGGAGAGGATTTTGAACTTTATATAGGAGGTGATGAAGAGACCTTAATTTTATTCTATTTTTCAAATGCTTTTATTAGTGCATTACAGTTATGAATAATGGTTGGGTTCATTTTGACATAATCAAAATATGCATGAAATTTAATTTACTCCATTTCAATCCCCACTGCTTCCTCTTTTCCATCCTTCCCTCTGTTCCTTTTCCTATACTCTACTGGTCTTCCTTCTGTTTATTAATTTTTTTTCTTATTGGTGCTTTATAGATAAACATAAAGTTGGAATTCACTATAGTATATTTATACATGTACATAGTATAATGTTGTCAGATTCATTTCTCATTTCCTCCTCTTTCCCATCCCTCATCCTCCTCTTCTACCTCATTCTACTCCACTGATCTCCCTCTAACCTCATGAGACACCTCCCTTTTAGTTAGTTCTAGTTTCTGCACATGAGAAGAAACATTTGATCCTTGATTTTCTGAATCTGGCTTATTTCACTTAACATGACATTCTCCAGTTCCATCCATTTACTTGCAGATACCACAATTTCATTCTTTATGGCTGAATAAAACTCCTCTGTGTATATGTACCACATGTTTTTTTTTTTTTTTTTTTTTTTTTAATTCATCAACACCTGGGTTTGTTCCATAACTTGGTTGTTGTGAATTGCCCTGCTGTAAACAATGATGTGCCTGTATCACTGTAGGATGCTGATTTTAGTACTTTTGTATAAATGTTGAGTGGTGGGATAGCTGGGTCATGTGGTGGTTCTATTCCTATTCTTGTGAGGAATGAGAGACCTTAAATTTAATCAAAGGAATGGCATGGACTGATTTGGTGAGTTAGATTAAATGAAGGATACAATTTAAGGAGATAAAAATACTTAAATTTTGAAGTCATGTCAGAAAGGCCCAAAGAAGATGTTTAATTTTAGACTAGGCCTACTATTTTCACAAAAATCCTTCATGAAAAAGTAAGATCATTGGTCAAATAATATAGATGCTATATGCCCTTTTACATTTTGTCTAATGTAAGGTTTTAAAAGGCTGTCCTTCAAGAGAGTTGGTGATGATGGCAAGTTGAATGCTTATGGAAGGTAGTAAGAATTAAGCTCAGGGGGTTGAAGCTATCTGCATGGTGTCCTCTTCATCTCTATGCTCCACAGAGTTTAGTTTGGTGTCTTGCGCCAAAAACTCCTCAACTATTTGTTGAATCATTCAAGTCATTTTAAGCCATAGGAGCTTTGGCACATGTTTTAGTGGCTTCCAAGCTAATAATTATAACTAAAAAGTACCAAATATTCTTATAAACTTATATAGTAACTTTGCAAAGCTCAAAATTAGATTAATATTAACTCCTAAATAAAATTGGAGTGGGGCTTTGTTATTGTTTTTTTAATAAATATCTTCGTTAATTCAGAAATAGCATAATTGCTTTGTGAAAATAATTTTTCATGTTTTTTCCCCCCAAAGGCTGCCTCAAGTATCCAGAGAATCTTATCAACGTTAACACTAGCAGTGTTTCCAATACTGTATTTTTTTAACTTCCTTTATTATACAGAAGCAGGATCCATGTTTTTTACTCTTTTTGCCTATTTGATGTGTCTTTATGGAAATCATAAAACTTCCGCCTTGCTTGGGTTTTGTGGCTTCATGTTTCGTCAAACAAATATCATCTGGGCTGTCTTCTGCGCAGGACATGTCATTGCACAGAAATTAACTGAAGCCTGGAAAACTGAGCTACAAAAGAAGAAGGAAGAGCGGCTTCCCCCTATCAAAGGACCATTTTCAGAATTCAGGAAAATTCTTCAGTTTCTTTTGGTGTATTCCATGTCCTTTAAGAACTTGAGTATGCTTTTCCTTCTAACTTGGCCCTATATCCTTCTGGGGTTTGCATTTTGTGCTTTTGTAGCAGTTAATGGTGGAATTGTTATTGGTGATCGGAGTAGTCATGAAGCCTGTTTTCATTTTCCTCAACTGTTCTATTTTTTCTCTTTTACCCTCTTTTTTTCTTTTCCTCATCTACTATCTCCTACTAAAATTAAGGCTTTTCTTTACTTAGTTTGGAAACGTAGAATTCAGTTTTGTTTGATTACCTTAGCCTCCATATTTTTAGTTTGGAAATTCACTTATGTTCATAAATACTTGCTAGCAGACAATAGACATTATACTTTCTATGTGTGGAAAAGAGTTTTTCAAAGATATGAAATTATGAAATATTTGTTAGTTCCAGTCTATGTATTTGCTGGTTGGAGTATAGCTGACTCATTGAAATCAAAATCAGTTTTCTGGAATTTAATGTTTTTCATATGCTTGTTCACTTCTACAGTTCCTCAAAAACTGCTAGAATTTCGTTACTTTATTTTACCATATGTTATTTATAGGCTTAACATACCTCTACCGCCCACATCCAGACTTGTTTGTGAACTGGGTTGCTATGTAATTGTTAATTTCCTAACTTTTTATATTTTTCTGAGTAAGACTTTTCAGTGGCCAAATAGTCAGGACATTCAAAGGTTTATGTGGTAAAATCAGAGATATTTTGACCTTTAAAAGTAGATGTAATATATAGACTGTCTCCACAATGATAATTGATATGTGGGAATTATAGAATTTGTTTTAGGCATAATGGTAATCCTCAGATCACATCAGTTTTTTTCTTATTACATACTTTTTTTTTATTACATACATACATTGTATGCAACAAATATAAGGAAGTTAAGTATAAACAACTGAAAAGCTTAAGACCTGCTTCAGAAGCCAATAATGGAAAGATAAAATTGTTTACAATTATCTCTTTGATACTGCCAGCACTCAAAAGCTTGGAAACTTTTTGTACATACAAGCTTAAGAAAACTGGGTATGCTTCACAGCAGTGGAACTAATTTATAATTCTTTTCAGAAATTATTTGAAAAATATTTACAAATGATCAGTCAATATTCCTGATTGAAAAGTTGTTTACTCTTTCAATAATTATAATTTTAATTATAAATTAGAATAGATTTATGGATAGCAATTTAAAAGAGAAGGTCATGGTAATCCAGGATTCAGTGTATTATTTTTTATTTAAAATCTAGAAATTATGAAGCTTTTTCACTAATTCCTAATATGAAATGTATAAAGGCCAAAGATAAATTGTGTTGATTATAATACCTTTTAAAGAGACTTTTTTTCTGAAATACATTGTTGTATTAGTTTCCTAGGACTACTGTAACAAATGACCACAAACTTAGTGGTTTACTTTTTTTCCCCACATTTAGAAAGACCTGTATCTGAACTCAAAATGTCAGCAGGGTCAGTTCCTTCTGGAGGTGCTGAGGAATTATCCATTCCATGCCTCTCTCCTGACAAGAAGATAATATCTCACAAGATTTTTAGGAGATAATATATGTGCTCAGATCTTATAAATAAAATTTTGTCCTGAGAGGTTAAAAAAAAAGTGACTTCTGAGATATAAATGTAAATCAAATTGTTATTTGATTCCCTTATCTCCCCCCCCCAAAAAAAAATAGAACTGAAAGTTATGAAATCATTTGATGTACCTATTTTGTAAATTAGGTAACACCTGCTGGGTAATATTTTGTGAGTGTGTTAGTGTTTGCATTCTCTGTTTACTATTTTTCATTCATTCCTTGGGTTGTCATTTTACTACAGGTAAGCATTTGGGCATGTTAATTTTGACATGGAAAGCTGAAACTGTGTATAGAAGTCATCTCTCAACCAAATTTTAACATTTTTAAATATTTTTTAAAAATAGCCGTAAGTGTGGACAAATTACTTTCTCCTCAGTGTTGAATAAAGCTTTTTCCTGTTTAAAATAATTAGAATATTTAGAAAACATCTCAACTTGCAAATATGAAAATGAGTGCAGGTAAAAATAACAACAAAAGTCTTGAGAAAAAAATACAGAGCATTCTTTTATTGTACCTCTATTCAGTACTTAGAAAGTAGAATGACTCAATTATAACAGTGATTGTATGAAAATATATTTTACCCAGATTTTTTTTGGCAGGCTGAATATTGAGTTTAGGGATGATAGGCAAGCAGTATACCACTGAGCTATGTCTCCAGCCCTTTTAATTTTAAGAGTCCTGCTAATTTTGCACAGGCTAGCCTTGAACTTGTAGTCCTCCTCTATCAGCCTTCCAAGTAACTGGGATTACAGGTGTATGCACCACACCCAGCCAGAATATTTTTAGTCAGATAAGAAAGCATAATCAAAGAAATTATGCTTTCATGAATTTATTATAATAGAGAACTAAATCCAGGAAACCAAAGTTGGAAAAAAAAAAAGAGTGTAATTTAGGAAATTCAGCTTTGTTGTCTGATAGTGCAAGGCTTGTGTTTAGGAACATTTCTGAGAGGAAAAACTTTCCACTCAAATCTGGTCTGGGGACCATTTCACCCCATTTAATTGAAGAAGACTGGAGAGATCACCATTCCAATTAATTTTTAAGTGTTGAGTCACTTATGTGTTAAATTTGGAGAAATTTTACATTGAGAAGGAAACACATTAATCTTCCTCGTTTTCTATAACATAAAATACAGTACTTGGTATTTTAGAAAAGAATATTGTGAATTAAAAGGAGCTGCTTATTTTTTTCTAATTATTTTAAAACAGGATGTCTATCAGTATTCTTGAGTTAAAGATAAACGTTTTGGTTTAAATTTTCTTGGACCCTTAGAAGATGGTTATTTACTATTGAATTTTCCACAGAGTGAAATAGATTAAATAAATATGTGAAAGATACACAAGCTCAATTTAACAGATCACCAAACTCATCCCTGTGAAGTCTTTCCACCTGAAAAGATTGAGAAGTCCAGTCATTCCTAAAACGATCCTTGCTTTTACAAACATTCTAAATTATGTTTGTGTTTTGAACTTTTTAAAGGATTATCAAATACTACTTTTGTAGTGGATTTAAAAAATGAGAATTTTTTTGAATTTCATAATTAAAAAGTGATTATGAAAAACACATACTTCCTTACTAGATAACCTTACAATCATTGTTAGTAGTCTGTGAGTAGGATTATTTTAAAGAGTATCATGAAAAGTTCTAGTCCATTGTTTTCAACTTCAGAATAATTTTGATCAAGTTCTACCTTATGTGAAATTCTAGTATGGAATATTATCTTTAGATAGTATTAGTTAGGTTTTAGTGTACTGTGTGTTTACTACCACATGTGTCATGTGTTTTCTCTTAATGGATACCCAGAAATTTTTTATAACTGTATCTGTGTGTTTAAATTATTTGGAAATACAGTGTTCCTTACTTTAAAATAGCATATTCTCCTAGCAAGAGAAATTATTTTTGCTCTCTGGGCCATGTTTCCTTAGATTCATTTCTGGAATATGCTTAGTCTGTCATAAAATTCCACAATGTAAATAACTTAATGTAATTTATTTCTAATAATTAAATAATATGTTATTTCCAGTTTGAACTAAATTGCTGTGCAGTTTGACATTATTTTCTTCATAATCAAAGAGAAAAGGGATTCAAAAATTTTATTTATGCACTTAAATAGTGGACAGTTGTAACCAGTTTTCAATAAATTATGTATTCAGATAAAAAAATTCATGGTGGTGCATGCTCGTAATCCAATAACTGGAGAGACTGAGACAGGAATATCTCAAGTTCAAAGCCAGCCTCAGCCACTTAGTGAGACCATCTCAAAATAAAAAATAAAAATTGGCTGGGGCTGTTGCTCACTGGTAAAGTGCATCTGGGTTTAATCCCCAGTACCAAAAACAAAGAAAAAGAAAGAAATTACTATATATTAGGTAGAGAGCATTATTATCTTAAAACAATTAGAATCACATTAAATAGTAAAACCAGATTGTAATGTAAAGATGAAAAAAAACTTTTAAATGGAAATTTAAATATAAATTAGGAGCCATGGACTTATAGGAAGAATGTTTAACATGGGAGTTATGGGAATTAGTGTTTGCTTATGACTCTATAATCAATAAGGCAAGATGTTTGGTTCTCATTTCAAATGAGGATAATTGTCCTAATTAAGGTGTGTCTGGTATGGGCCTAATTTCGAAAAGGATTTATCCCCTGCCATTCATAAAAATCATAAACATATCATATGATAAATATTAGCTAAATGTACACTGAACATTTTAGTATAGAATGAAGCAAATAGCACAGAAAAACTATAATGTATAATCACAATTAATTTGAGGAAATAAATTGCATTTCATGACAAAAGCATTCCAGACCCATTTTCTGCCTAATTTTTTGGTCTACTGCTAAGTGTTTGCTGTGTTGTTTAGTGCTTAAACATGTATCTACTTGTAAATATGTTATATGTTGTCTTTATATCAGGATATGATATCAAGGTTATTGCTGTTTAAAATACAAGCAGTTCAATCATTATTATAATTTTGATGGTTTGTAAGACTTTAAAGGGAAAAGAAATTTCAACCAGTTACAAATATTTTATGTTATTTCAGGTTCTATTTTACTATTCTAGGAATAACTTATCTTTCATTTAGAGTGCTTTACATATTTAAATGTTGATGACACATTTCCAATATAGTAAAACAAGTTGAAAAATTATAATAAAGTGAATAGGTTGTGAAAAAATTTTTCAACACATTTATAAATTCAACACAAAATTCTTTTAAGATTTGATTATTATTTCTAGGGTGAGAAATTTTGTCACAGTAAAGTAATCCAATAATGTCTTCATATTATGCTTTTTAAAAGATGAGCTTTTGATGAATTTAATAATTTCATTCAGAGTTTCATTTCATTCATAGCACAGTTAATCACCAGCAAGCCAAAAGAAATGTCTTTTTACAACAAGAACAATATTAAAACATTATACTGTTTCTGCATACTGGAGTGTGATCAGTTCATTGAGCAATGTATGTGTGCTTATGGCACATACAAGATGAGGAAAAAGGGAAAGAAATTGCCATCTTTTGAGTACCTGTAATATTGGCTGATTTACCAATATTGTCCCATTTGATCCTACTCATATGTCTGTGCAGTAGATACTGAATTTTGCTGGATTGTTGAAGAAGTTAAAGGTCAAATATATCTGGTGACTTGCCACAAGACCACTCTTGTCTGTAAATCAACATAGATGATCTGATTCACAAACTGAGGTTTTGACTGCTATTTTGTGAATGTTTTTCATTAAGTAGGCTGAGTGCTTGCCTTGCATGTGTGTGTCACCGTGTTCGATTCTCAGCACCACACATAAACAAATGAATAAAATAAAAGTCCATCAACAACCAAATATATATATATATATATATATATATATATATATATATATATATATATATATGAAGTAGGATATGGAGAGTGGAGATAGTCTTTACTGTGCACAAGCCAGGCCATTCATGGCACATTATTTTTTTGTGTGTTGGATTGTAATCATTCTTAAAAATGTTAGAAACTGTTTAAAGAAGTATGAACAAATGATGAGGATTAATAATTTTGTTGTAAGATAAATGAAAGAATGGGATGATTAACTTGGAATAACAGATTCTGTAACTTAAGCTCTTACAATATTTGAAGAACAATTATTTGAGTGAATTGAAATTATTCTGTTATGTAAAGTGTAAATGTAGGGCCAATAGTTACATTTCAGTTAATGAAAAACAAATTTTCTAATTGCTTAGTCTCTACAAGGGACTGGACCCCCTGAAAAAAATGTTTCCTATTGACTGGTGGTAAAATTTCTATTTATCAGATTTAGGAAAATCAGATAGCATGTAGATAGAGTAAAATATATTTAAAGATGTCTTACAACCTTGTAAATTCATAAGTCTGTTACAACTAATATTTTTGCATTAATTGGTAAGTCATAGTCAGATATTTCTGGTGATTTGCATGCTGTCTTTGGTATTTTAAATTTCTGAACAAAACTACTTTTAACTGTTAACCCTGTTTTAGAAACAAATTTTAGATGCCCAATCTTCTAAAAGATATTATAGTTAGAATATTTCGGTGAGCTTGTAGTATTTATTTTACATATGTTTTAATTCCTCTTGTATCAATGGAAATAGTATATTTCTACTTAAAAAGGTTTATCCCCTAGTGAAAAATAGGGCAAGTGCTATGTATAATAAAAGTGTTTAGTTCAGTGTTCACTAGGTGGTGATATTGTGCTGTATATTCAAGTGTTCTTGTAATTAAACTTTTGTTATTCTGAATTAAGCTTTTTATAGTTTTGTATTGTTTTGAACCACAAAGATATATATTATCCATGCCTATTTATTATGCTGTTATTGAAAGTGTTTCCTGAGTTGTATGAAGCCAAGGTAAATGTAAAAAAAAAATTAAAATGTTGCACTTTTTGATTTTTTAATCATATATTAGATTCTTTTACGTAATCTGACTTTCCATATGACATTGTTTACTTCATAAAGCATCTTCATCTGAGGACCTTTCCCCATAAACAAGTAGTGATAGGACAGATTTGAAAACTGATATAATATTGTATTGGCCACTGTTTTTAGTGCTTTAAAACTGATTTTATCTCATTTAATATTCATAATAATCCTGTGGGATAGAATGGTTGTTAATACATGAGGAAACTTAGCAGAGAAAGGTTGTTTGCCCAACATTATAGAATAATTGACAGGTAGGATTCATGACGAGACAACCTGACCAGAATCAATGTTAATAACTACTCAATTTGGGAGAGAAGGGCACAAAGGCATTTACCTTCAAATTTGTGGCATCTTTCAAGTTTTCATGGAGAACCTACTTTTCTATACCAGAAAATGAGGCTAACACTAATTTGGAGGTTTTCCAGAGGCTGACAGTCTTCCATCTGCCATGGTATCTTCCATTTTTGTTTTTGTCATAATGCCTCAAGTTGGTATGAGTGTATACATATGAATTTAATGGCAAAAAGGAAAAAAATCAGGGCTGAAGTATTCAGTCATATGAATTTACATTGAAATAAAACCTTTCTTACAAATCAAGGAGGAGCACAGTTATTTAACAATTAGTATTTAGTTTCTCAGAAAACTCTTAATTTGGAAGCAAGTTCTTGGTTAAACATGATAAGCTTTGGGTTTTTAAAAATTCTTTCTGGAAGAACTTCATCTTTTAGCTTAAACAATATGTGAATATCTGATCTTGGGGCTGGGGATGTGGCTCAAGCGGTGGCGCACTCGCCTGGCATGAGTGCGGCCCGGGTTCGATCCTCAGCTCCACATACAAACAAAGATGTTGTGTCTGCTGAAAACTAAAAATAAATAAATTCTCTCTCTCTCTCTCTCTCTCTCTCTCTCTCTCTCTCTCTCTCTCTCTCTCTCTCTCTCTTTTAAAAAAATATCTGTTCTAGATACATTTTTAGATGTTTTACCTTTTGTTAGTACTATATTCTAAAATTGAGATGTGTATTTGACTTATAAAATTATATTGTGAGTTCATGTCATTTAAAACTGCTTTTGAGTAAACCTATTTATAAGAATAAAAGATGTTTTTCTTTTCAAAAATTCTGTTAAAATATTTTGTTTCTAAATAAATTTGTTTTATAATATACTATGTCTACTTAATTATCTTATTCTAAACTGAGGGTTAGCACCTTTCCCCTAGTACTCACTCATTTTTCCCTCTTTACCACTTACCCAGTCCTAATCTTTATTCTTCATGAAATAATACAATTGCATATGTTTAAGTATCTGTAATTGGTGTCAATCGCTAACCTGGGTATCTGTATAATTTTCCCTCTAATTTCATCATAATAGAGACCAGTTAAATTATTAGCTGATCACCTTGTATTTGTAGAGGCTGGGGTTTCTTTTGTTAATCTAGGTCTGTAAAGAGTGTTTATCAGCACCTTTAACTTGGTAGGACTCAAATCTCAAACCTGGGCCCTTGTGAAGAGACGAATGAGGAGATCTCCATTCTTTGTTTTCTCTTACTTCCCATTGGGCATGGAGTTTCCCTTCCTCATATGCATCTTATAGAGATCAACTGAGCACTTATACTGGACCCAGATTTGGAGTATCCTCCTTGTGACTTCTCTTTTCTAGATTTCCCCTCTATTTACAGCCGCTCTGGCAGTTCTAAATTCCATCCTCTGCAAGTCAGTCATTACAACTTTCTGACTGGTGGGTACCCTCAGGAAAAGCAATGTACACATGATTTTGATTGCTGTTCAGTAATTTCAAGTATTTTTTTCCTCTAAATCATTTAAACTATGGCAGAGTTAGTGTGATATAAGTTCCTCTGCCATTATCTGCCTAGGAACTTTGTCTTGATTACAGTTGATATAGATTGTATAATCTGTCTGTATTAATAAGGAAGTTGAGGTTGTTACTTTTGTTTTGAGGGATTAAGAATTCCTGAAAAATAGTTTAGGTGGAAACAGTTTTGGAATACAGATTTCTAATATAGCTCATTGTAATATACTGCATCATTAAAGTATCTGTTATTGAATCCAGTGACCACTTGAAATTCCCTTGTGGAAAAATGATGTGAAGCAATACAAAAGTGATCTTTTCTGTAAAGAGGAACTCGCCTTCTAATTGGGAATTAATAGAAAGTATAATATTGATTATCACTGTGGAGGAATGCGAAAGTTAAGGTATTGACATGGAACTGGAAATCACAGCTGAAGGGACAAGGGAACATTTAATGGGAAAAATGGTTTTTGAGCTAATTCTTACGGAGATTTGTGGAGACATTGTGGAAAGCATTCCAGGTTTATTAAAGGGAAGTGAACAGAGATTGTACAGTACTACTACCACACACAGGAGAAGTAGTGGCTAACAGTTGCCAACACTTGCAGCATGCTTGCTGTGTGTCAGTCACTAGTCTTAGAATCTGTGTTCAACATGGATTAAGTAATCCCAATAAGGATTCCATGAGGCAAATACTACCATGATCCTCATTTTATTGATAAGGAAATTAAGACAAAGATAACTGAAATAATTTGCAAACTCAGGAAATGTGGCTTTAGAACCTGCCTTTTTTTCAGGGAACAAGACAGTTCCAGTAAACTTGCATAATCTAATAATGTCCTACTGTTAAAAAGAACATAGGTTATTTTTAAGTAGAAACTAAGATCAATGTTCTATTGCATGTGGTGGGGAACAAGAAGAGAGCACAGAGTATGATAAGGGGGGTAAGAAGAAAAGTGGCTATTATTTGAGAGAGGATAGTCAGCCTGAATGGACTGATTGTGACTCCTCACCCTCCATCTGCTCTTAAATCCCACAATAGGTGGCACAGGAACCCAAGAAAAGGGCAGTCTTAATTAGGACTGTGTAGGGGCTTTGAAAGGTTTTGAGGAGATGACTTGAAATTTTAACTCTGATACCTCTGTAACTACTGGGTCTTGTGGTTGAATGTATTGCAAGGTTCCCAAAGTATGCGCAGGCCCTGGGCTCAGGTGAGCCATGGCAGAAGATCTAATTAATTTTAAAATTAGCCCTCCATTTAGAATTCTAAGTCTTGGTCTTAAGATTCTGTCCTTTGTAATGAAAGGAAAAGTAACCCATTAAATCTAATCAATTATAAATATTTGAATAGCATATGAGAATATCTATGTTCTTCCCATACCCATATCTATGTACACACCTAAGTACAAGTGTTTCTGGTGAAGATGGACAGGAGAATTTTAGAAGTATTGCTAGGAAAAGAAGTAAGTAGGAAGACTGAAGACAGAGGAAGGAGCAATTTAAAGGGTAGTCAACTTTTTTTCATATATTCATATATTTTATATATCTATTTCATATATTGATTACATACATTGATGAAGGAATCACTGTCCCCCATTATAATAGCATCTTGTTCAGGAGGCATATTGGAATGAAATGCACACAGAATACTGATGTGGAAAAACGAAAGAATATAGTAGGACCCCATCTCTGCTTGAACTGCTTGTATGATAAAAATTTAGATTGATGTTAATTTCCAGTGGTAATAACTGCAGTATACAACTGCTAATTTGGTTTCCAAAATGCATTATCCTGAATTTTACTCAAGATGGCAGTCATGGATATTTTTTCTAGTTGTTAATCTGACAGAACTTTACCATTCTATTTACCCTAAAATGTCACTGATATTAATGATTTTTTCATTGTTATTTGAAAGGCATTTTTGAACATGTTTATCCTTGAGCAAATATATTTGATTATCTATGTCATTGTGTACTTTGAAAACATGATTATTGGAAGCTTGAATCATCAGATAATCATAGCTTCATTTTATTCCCTATAATTAAGAATATCTAGAAAACTTGATAGTTTCTATTTTCTTTTCCAATTAGAATATCAGTAAAACTGGAATTTACACATACCTTTAATTCACATGGAATTTGTCATGTATATTTAATGGCAGAATGGTTATAAAAAGCTTCTGTTGATGGGAAATACTTGTTTTCCTCTGTGTGGCTATTAGAAAAGCAGGAACTGTTAGTCACTCTCTGAGAGTTGTGTTATAGAGCAAGTTACCTGATAAGGAAAGAAAGCAAGTAATTGTGTTTGTAATGGTATATGAATAACATACATTTAAAAAAATAGCCAAGGATTTTAGATGCAATAAATGCAATTTGAGAGTCTCCACCAGTCTCCAAATAGTTTTGAGTTACACATTATGTAACTTGCCATCGAGCTTTGGAGATATTTGACTTCTGTATATCTAGAATGCTGATAGAAAATGTGTCTTTTCTATATTATAATGTTTGTGTTATAATAGATCTTTCCTTGTGCTAGTTTTGCCTTTGACTTTGAATATGAAAATTCTGTGGACTATTGATCATCTAATGAGATTTTTCTTACTCTCGAAAAATAAATAATTCAGTGTTTAAAATCACAAATTAGAATTTATAATCTATGAATCTCTATACTGTACTCTTATTAAATAAATTCTCAGTTAAATGTTCATCATTACAATGAAAGACATTAGCATAACTTTTTCTTAATCTAGTTTTTCACTATCAGCAACAATAACAGTTTGGGGAAGAAAGCTCGCTCATTATGAGGAATAATTGGCAAGTATCTAAAAACAAAATTTTGATCAAATTTGATCTTCATATATCTTAAGGTTTTGGTAGTTTGGGTTTACTATTTGATAAAAGTAATCTAAACAAAGTCAAAATTAAAATGTTTTAGCTAATGACCCTATTTTGTATTTACTAAAATAACTTCTCTCTAATAAACAAGAAAGAGATTAAATTAAGTGAAAATAAGCCAATCTGCTACTTTATGCTAAATTCTAACAGACTGTGTTTATCTAAAGTGGTAAGCACACATGAGCTGTAATCTGAAGACCTAGGTTCAAATCCTGGATCTGCCATTAATTTGCTGTTTCAATATAGGAAAGTGAAACTGTCAAGATCAAATAAGCAAATACATGTGATAATTATTTAATAGCTCTAATTACACAAAATGTAAGGGTTATATATAATTTATTAGGTGTGTCTTGGGCTCTGCACCAAATAGTTTTATTAACTTGTATCATAACATGATAAAAATAGTATTGGTTAATCTAATAATTGGCAACTACAGGACTGTTATAAATTTGTTTATATTATTAAAAATGTAAATTCCTTTTTTAACCTGAAAAATATGGATTTTTGTAACTTTTTAAAATATTCTTATTCATTATTATAGTTTGTTTTAGTCAGTTTTTTCACCACTGTGACTAAAAGACCTGACCAGAACAATTGTGGAAGAAAAAAAGTTTATTTGAGGGCTCACAGTTTCAGAAGTCTCAATCCATAGACAGCAGACTCTTCCTCAGAGCTTAGGTAATTCAGAACATAATGGTGGAAGAGTGTGGCAGAAGAAAGCAGCACACATGATGATCAGGAAGCCAAGAGAGAGATTTCAATTGCCAGATACAAAATATATACCCCAAAGTGACACCCCCAATACCCCACCTCCTCCAGCCACACCTCACCTGCCTTTAGTTACCACTCAATTAATCCCACCAGGGATTAATTCACTGATTGGGGCAAGGTCTCATAACTCAATCATTCCTTTTCTGAACCTTTTTGCATTGTTTCACACATGAGCTTTTGGGGGACACCTCACATCCACACCATAACACAGTGAAAAAGTTCATTGTTACGTCCAAACAGTGTAGTTTCAATTTGACGTTGTAAAAAACTGAAAAATATTGTACATTATTTAGAATTACATTAATTGGTCATTTTAATTATGTAGAAAATAAATAATGGTGATCACTTTGAGTAGACACAAAAACATGAATAAAGAGAATGCATTGGCTTCCCATCACTATAATGCCAGAGATAATCATATTATAATGAGAAGAGGTCTATTTTGGCTCATAGTTCTGTAG